TAGATTTATTATTTCATTTTTGGGATAAATACATCATTAGAATGAAAATTATATCTGTATTAAATCAATTTTGGGATCCATTTTAATTTGTAAAAAAAAAAAAAAAAAAACCCGCTGACTTTGTAAGTAGTTTGTTTAAGTTCCAACATTTTTAAAAGAGGCGCATAAAAAGATGCTAAAGAACATGCATAATTAATTAAAATCCATAAAAAAATCTAAATAATAGGTTTAATTAAAATACAAATAGTATTATGTCATATTCAACATATATAATAATGCTTAAATCATAATCAAATGATTCTTACTAAAAATGAAATATTTTGCGTACCAGGGACACACATGAAATAGCTTATGTACAAAGAGAACGTGTAGAAAAATCATTCAAAATTTTGATTTGATGCTATAACTCTCTCGTATTTTTATCTGCAAATTTTACACTTCAAGGAAATACATTTTAAGCGACTGTAAACATTTTCTCTGTGCAGCGATTCCACGGTCGGATTAAAACTTTTATAGGCCCTTAACACTTAAAAGACTTTAGTCCCTCTACATAAATTTACATCAGTTTTTTTTTCCATTCTGTTAACCTTCGTCTTATTTAGCTGCAGCATGCTAAAACGGAAATTTTTGTGTCCATTTTTTTTTTCCTTTTTCTTTGATGCTTAATTTAATTAATGCTTAGTCTAGCCACGAGCGATTCTAACAGTGCGATATTTCTTATTTCCAATTTCTGTTCACTCAGAAAGTTCATTAATATATATAGAAATAAATACTAATTCATTCTGCACTTTGTAGTAGCGCATGAATATTTTAACACTTTTTATCGGCGAGGCTTCCTCATTCAAAAAACTGTTGACGATATGTTCAGCTGTTCTAAAATTTGTGCAGTAGTAGTTAACTTCAGCTATGTGTCCTATCTTTTACTAATAGGTTTGGATACTAAAGGCTCTTTCCATGAAAGCTTGCAAAAGGTCAAGATGAATACCTTTTATTTCTTTAAGTTAAATGCTTCTAGTTTCTTTAAAGCTTGAACTAGCCCCGTTAAGAAAAGCTTAGATTAGAAAAAAAATTAAGAGCTTTTTCCGCCCCTTTTTTATGTAGATTACTACATCGATTAACAGAACTCTATCATGCTTGACTGCAACTAACCGAAACAATGCTAATGAAGTAGTGAAAAACTGAACAGTAGCAGTATTGTTCCTTTTTTCCGTCTTTTTTGCTGTCAGTCAGAATGTTTCAGACACTTCATCTTTCCTTCCTTGTGCGAAGTAAAGAAAGTATTGTAACCGTGAAAGATTTCGGCTTTCAGATTTCAACGGAAAATTCGTTCCCGAATCCTTTTTGCGTGACTTCTATACGTACCGACAGGCTAAGAACATTCCAAAACGGATGTAAAATAAATTCAAAATGGAGTTTCTTCGTGAAGTCTGTACGAATTCATTGCAGTGGGGTTATATCAGCAAGCATGACATGGATTAATTTTGAAAAGGCGCAGTCGAGAAAGGTATTTTAAACATTTTTATATAAAAAATTTCCACTTTTAGAACAGAAAAGGATATAGCCAAATTAAAATGGGGGAATGAAAAGGACTTTTTCTAAATTAAAGTGAGTAATTTTGAGTTATATATTTTATACCTTACATATATATATTTTCGGTACTGAAGCTTGCAATAACAAAAGGAGAGGCGCAATTAGATGTTGTTAGCAGTCCCATATAAAAAATTCAAATGCTCTATGTCTAACTTTTTTTTGAGTTATGCTAGGTACACATGTACGTACAGATGTCACGAAAACATCCGCTAGGAAGCCACTTTATAATCTGTTTGGGAACACAAGAAAACGGTTATCAAAATAGGTTCGAAAACGGTCAAAATTAATATTTCCTTTGAAATCTGAAATTAAAAAAATTTCGCGATTACAATACTTCCTTTACTTTGTACAAGGAAGTAAAAAGACGTGGACATATATGTTTTTTTTTTTTTTTTTTTTTTTAACTGAATTTGGCCCAGTGCAATCATCTAATAGATTTACAAGTGGTACTTTCTTGTTAAAAGAGCCATCGTTAAACTCTTTTGCCTACATTTGAAATCTTCACATTAGAGATTGGACGATTAAATTTGCCAGTTTGGGCGACTACGCGCGGTGGCAACTTTAATAATATTCATTATCTTGAATCAGACGTCCATGGTTGGTGGCATTTAGCTAAATATTTCCTTAGAGATAATAATAAAGAAATAGTAATTTTTCCATGCATGGCAATGATATTTTTTTTAACCCAAATTAGTCTCTAAATGGGATTTTGCGTTGCTTCACTATAGACGGAGTATCACTTTTCAAATTATTGCCACCAAATATTATCGCCTAGGATTATTTTTAAAGAAATTAAAATATGTAGAATCCGCATGAATGTGTGTATGTATGTACATATGTATGTTCCTCGCATTATGAAAAAACTACGGTATCTAGAATCATCATCAGATTTTGAATAATGTAGTCCTCCACCCGAACATATCCACCTAAAGCCCGAATTTCGAATTAGATTTATTATTTTTTTATTTTATATTTTGTAAAGCTTTAAGGAATTTTTGTTTAACAAACTCGACGATTTGAAAGCGAGCATTGGCAACACGGCTCAAAATAAAACATTTTTATTTTCCGCGTGCGAGACTGCCGCCATTCGGAAAAATGTAAGTTGTTTATCTCTGTTTTAATTAACAAACTCGGCTGTAGGAAAGCAATGTATTGCCGCGGTCGGGATGTGGCCATTCAGTAAAGTTTCAGTTTCAAATTCAATTTGAAAGTTACTGAGTACTAAACTAAGCAATTTAAAAGAAATCAACACAGGCCTTAAGAATATTTTTTCTACTTTTTAATGTGATTGATTTAAATAATCAAGTATTAAAAGCATGAGATGTATAATTAGAAATATTCAATATTTTCACAAAATTATTACACTAGCCGGACTCCTTAAAATCATTATACACTTTTTCTTTTTTATGACAACTGTTTTTGGACGGCTCAGCAGGTGAGCGGGTCGTTTTTAACAAAATAATATAGAGAATGTAAAAATATGTATGGCAACATCTAACGCTGTATCGGGAATTTTTAAATATATGTTGTTTTTAAATTTTCGTCATTTTGCTATTGAATTCAGTTTTAAATGGCGAAGAACATGATATTTAATAAATCAAGTTAACATACGAAAAGACAATAACAGAAAAAAATGTTAGCCATCTTGGTAAGAAAACTGAATATTGATATGATGAACTTATAAAGGCCTGATAAAAATATATAAAAATGTAGGTTTAATACATAGTACGCACGGGATTTGGCAAATTTTGGTGACATTTGTGATGAGAAGTTAACACGTCATTTTGATGTTAGCGACATTTTTCAAAATCGCGCCAAGGCTGTATCGTATACTAGGATTTTTCTAAAATGCATGCCAACACTTATGACTGCATTGGGAATTTTAAAACATATGCTGTTATGCAGCTTTTGAAAATCTTTTTTTTTTTTTTTTTTTTTTTTTTTTTTTTTTTTTTTTTTTTTTTTTTTTTTTTGTATCATAAGTATGAAGGAAACAATGGTTAATAATAGAAGAAAAAAAAAAAAAAAAAGTTACCAGAAGTGAGTGCAAGAAGAGCAGATTGGTAGACTGCGAGGCTCAGCGAGAGCGTAACCCTTTTGAGAGACCGTTAAAATTTGAAACCTTTTATTTTTTAATGAATACTTTTGCTTTATGTCAATGAAACCAATCGTGACAAAATTTTTAGTATAACTGATTTATCAGTTAAAATTCGAAGAAGTGACATACACAACGGTAAAATTTAAATTTTGGGATCTCGAGTTTTTTTTAATAGTCGCTAGATGATTGGATTTTTTTAAAATGAATCGATAATAAACTCTAACTTCATTATAATCCTCACTGGAAATTAGCTCATTTATATATAAATCTAAGGAAATCATACTTTGGTACTATTCGGTTTCGAGGGCCGTAAAAAATCGCCAAACTATTGCTGATGCCAATGCTGCCAAAAATAATTGCGGCAACCCTAATAATTGAGGCAAGAAAGGAAGTATAATAGTAAATAACTATCTAAGATTGATGTTTTAATTTAGATGAAAGCTTAATTTCATATACTACTTTTTATTATTATAATTTATATGAAAAGGCTAAAACATGACTGAATGGAAGCAAAAGAGTAAATAACTTTCAGATCATTATTATAATTATATAAAAATTGCTAAACATAACTGAATGGATGCGTGATCGTTATTTCATACCGACTTATCGCTAAAGCATAATTTCATCTCGTTGGTTGTTCAAACGTAATGTTCTATAATTGATGCCTTTTCTTTGAAAATATTCTCGGTAAAGTGCAGATCGCTCATTATTTGATCGCCGCTTTTTACAAGGGTAAAAACAATTGGATTTTTGTCCATTTTCTTTTACTTTTTTAAGTGAAAATAGCTCGATGTGTACATAGATAAAGTCAAGGGTGTGCGCAGTGCCATTTTTGTGCAATTCTAGGATTTTTTTTTAAGTGAAAATAGGTCGATGTGCACATGGATATCGAGTATGTGCAGTTCTTAAAAACGCGTCAAGCAGTGGATGATGCTGCACTTTACATAAAATTCTATTGCCGACTTTACGTCACGGGCAATTCCCAAATTGTTAAATCCATAAGATATAAAAAATAAATAAATAAATAAATAAAAATAAAATAAAATAAAAATAAAAAAGGATTTAAAACTTAAACTAGTATTTCAATGGCGTCTTAAGAAATATAGAACTATATAAACTTACGCAATCTGATTGTACGCTAGATTTGGCGCGCTGTTAAATGGGCGCGTTTGCTAGATTTGGTGCTTTTGCGCATATATTTTCGCTGCAATTTTTTTACGGCCCTCAAAACAGAATAGTACCCATACTTTTTAGCAGTCTCCTTTTTAGCTGTAAAATGAGCAGAAGATTGTTTTTAGATTATTCAACTCACCTTTGCACTGGCACGGTTTCAGAAGTCGCTCTCTGCTGTTTCCATTGTAACATATCCTGCACATGGGACTGTTTTCTAGGTCTGATACTTTCAAAACTACACTGCATCGGTCTGGCTGTTCAGAGCCGAACGTCACTACAGCTGAATCCCGAGAACCGCCTGCCCTGCAGTCTGTGGTTTCACTGTCAGTTTCATTGGCCATAAAACCCCCACTGCTTCCGATTTATATTTATAAGCACTTTGTGTCAAGAGAATTTCAAATAACTTTCACGGAATCTAAAATTGGCCGAATACTTTAATAAGCAGCCGTTTTTTGTTGTGGTAAATTTGAAGATGCCAGTCTTGATTTATGAAAGTTTGATTTTGCTTAATATAGCTTAGAAATTGATCTCCTTTGTAATATGCACTAACAATATTTCAAAATTTGACAATAATGCAAATTCATAATTTATAAATTTTATATGGCAGTACACGTAACTGTTCTACGTAACTGTATGATATTGAATAATACACGTAACTGTATGATATTGAATAATGTTTCTGTTAGTTTCAGCTTTTTAAAATTATTTGCACGAAATCATTCCGATGTATTTCATCACAGCTGCATTTAAGCGGTCGCGGACACTTAGCCGACAACCACTTGGCCGACAGGACACTTAACCGACGCCAGTTAGCCGACAAGACATTTAGCCGACAGGGACACTTAGCCGACAGGACATTTAACCGACACGGACATTTAGCCGACAGGTCATTTAGCCGAACGACAGTTAGGCCGACACGACACGACAGACACAGACAGTGTTAGCCGACCAGGACCAGTTAGCCGACACAGCAGAACACAGTAACCGGACTAAGGACATTAGCCGACAGACACTTAGCAGAAGGACATTACCGACAGGACATTTTGCTGACCAAAATTAGCTCAAGGACTTAGCACGGATATTAACTGCAACCATTAGCCCACAGACACAAAGCGACAGTAAAGTTTAGACAGTACCCAAAATTATTCAACTACTATCATTACAAAATTCTCGACTTTCCTAATTCATTATTATTTTTCACATCTAAATTCATTTTCGATTTAAAGATCTCATTATCTTTATTTTGAAAATGTTTATACAGTGGATGACAAAAATATGGAAACACCTTGTGAAATGCATGTTTGAAAAGAAAGATTGATTTTAATGAAATATGTAGGTGGCGCTGGCGTTTTTGACTACTGACGCCACCTATACAACTTCGTAAATGTGCTAAACAGTTCAGTTGTTGTCGGAGTACTGTTATGTGAGGTTGTCATTGCATTATGTCAGAGTTAACAGACTTCGAACGTGGGCAAATTGTTGGAGCACGTATGGTAGGTGCTTCCGTAAGCAAGGTAGCCGAGGTGTTTAGTGTTTCAAGAGGTACTGTATCGAAGATTTATTCCGCATATTTGAAAAGCGGAAAAACATCATCTGCTAAATCACAGCGCGGACGAAAGTGTGTCCTGAGTGTTCGTGACAGACGATCATTAAGGGCAATTGTGACGAAAAATAAAACCACAGTTGCAAAAGTTACTGCTGAAATGAATGTTGTGTTACCGAACCCTGTGAGTACCAAAACAATTAGAAGGGAGCTTCATAAACAGGGAATTGCTGGCCGTGCTGCAATTGAGAAGCCACTCATCAGTGATGCTAATGCCCGTAACAGGAAAAGGTGGTGTTTAAGTCATAAAGCCTGGACTATAGAGCAGTGGAAGCGAGTAATATGGTCTGACGAGTCTTCTTTCACATTGTTTCCCACTTCTGGCCGAGTTTACGTCTGGAGAACGCCATCTCAAGCCTATAATACAGACTGCTTGTTGCCAAGAGTGAAACATGGCGGGGGTTCTGTTATGGTTTGGGCAGCCATATCGTGGTTCTCTGCTAGCCCCATGATAACTGTGTCAGGGCACATGACTGCCAAGACTTATGTGAACATTTTGGCCGATCAAGTTCATCCCATGGTACAAACTTTGTTCCCCGATGGTGATGGTGTCTTCCAAGACGACAAAGCCCCTGTTCACACAGCTCACATTGTCCAGGACTGGTTTTCTGAGCACGAGGATGAGTTGTCCCATCTCCCCTGGCCACCACAGTCACCAGACCTGAATATTATCGAACCTTTGTGGTCTACATTGGAACGGAAAGTGCGTTCTCGTTATCCACCGCCAACATCGTTATCTGAACTTGCCACCGTTTTGCAGGAAGAATGGTATAATATTCCCTTGGCAAACATACAGGAACTGTATTTATCCATTCCGAGAAGACTGCAAGCTGTTTTGGATGCCAACGGGTTTCCTACACCATATTAAGCAAAGAAACATGTTTTTT